AAAAAAATACCACAATATAAAACATAAATGCAAATATGATAAAAAAAAATTTATTATCTAACATTTTCCTTTTTTTTATCTGACTAAAAAAAGAAATGTGGAAGTGCCACTGCATCAATTTTCGGTAAAAGGTCGACTGAACTCTGTCTTGTGTGCTGTGATTCCGATTTATGCAACAGTGATTGCGGTAAATAATATATTGCTCTTCGTTAAGTTTTGTGAATAAGTCACCATTCAATTTCAATTGGTAACTCAGTTAGTTGACAGCTCGAATAAATATCACAATATACCTTTCGAAAAGATTAAATAAAAACACTTCTGAATCTAGGGGTTAAGTTGATACGAAGTAGATATTTAAATTAAATACAATAAATAAAATATATACATAATGTACAAGGAGAGAGATCTTCAGAGCAGCGAGACCTTGTAAGTTATTTGAATAAAAGTATCTCTGGCTCAGGGTGCACGTGTAGTGCGACAATTCAGTGTAAAATATTCATGGTTATTCATTGGATTGTAAGCTGTTTTACGCCCCGTTCGAGAAGTTTTCACTCATATAGAGACGTCACTATATACCGGAGAAAGGCTTTAAATTTAGACTTTATTCGGCACTCAGTACCATATATCAATGAGGGTTCTTTTAATCGTGCCAATGCCTACCGTGAAACAGTGCTTTGGCTCTTTATGTCTCATTTGAAGTACCCACAACTTTCTTTTCAATGTGCCCTGCACTTGTCGAAGGAACAGTTGCAAACTATTCTTGTTTGACTTAAATCCACCGCAGTCGTGATTCGAACAACCGACCTTACGATCACGGAGAGGGCGCTTTACCAACTGAGCTACAGTGACGGTTCAATACATTGCAAGACACTCTTTAAAACATAAAGGCCACGTTTACTTAGATGAGCATTGTCGCTTTGTTTTTTTTATGAAACTGTTAATATTAGATCTTCAATTATACAAAGAAGAAAGTAAACTGCACCACGTTTAAAGTGTGTATGAACATGTTCAACTTATATAAAAGTAAGTATTTTCCTGTGTTTTCAGGAAACAGAACAAGACCAATCACTAAAACAACAACTACCACTATTCTCACAACAACAATGAAATGTAAGTAAACCTAGGGCATGATTTCTTCTTCTATTGTATGTTAAGTTTTACTTAGAAAATACTTTCGAAAATATTATATCATTTTGTCGCTGTATGCTATATAGTAAAGCCAAACAATGATATATTTTTTTCAAAATTATAAGGTAAATAAATTCACAGTATCGGTACGGTTTCTTATTAGAATAAATTGTTAATACATGTACACGCTTCCCCGAATTGCCTCAATGTTTGTTTGTGGAAACACCAACACGTGCCGCTGGAGGGCTGAAAATTTATAAATATAGTTACCATACAGGGCCATTGAGTAATACATGAGGGATCTCATTCATACAAACACCTACTGTGGCATGAACTGATGAACAGGTATCCACCTCGCAGCGGATTTGTACATGTATCCGCGTCGTAAGAATCAGAATCACCTCCTCCCTATGCAACTCTAGAGCAGACCCTGTAATTAATCTCAGTGAGATGTCGTAGATACTAAAATTTTTGCATGGTGTCCACTACGACATCTCAGAGCAATCCCATACAACGTAATTCAGGGTTTTTGCCCCGACTTTGACCGCTTGTTTCAATCAATACGGGCTGAAATTATTTTTTTTTTTCATTTGGACATCCATTTAAGTCTCTATCAGTATGAAACACTCGTTTCTTACCTTTCAAAGGATTAGAGCTAGCAAAATATAAACGTGTTTATTTTTCATGGCTGTTTGCTATTCGTTTAAACCTCCGACGCTGAAGAGTTCCGCAACAGATTGCCTCAAATACTTCTTGCTATAGTTCATTCCTATATGAAATAGTAGTAGAACAGGTATAACTATTTTTAACGTTTTTGACCTTGACCATAGACATTAAACTTGTCCATACTGTGAACAGTTACAACTAGAAATTTCAAATTTCACAAGTATATATCCTATGGCTTGACGCCTTACTGAAAGTCTATTGATAACTGAGAATTGTACTACATGTTTATTTCTTATGAGAAGGTCTTCCCTTGCGTACAAGTAAATTTCACCTTTGACCTCTAACCAGTAATTTAATGTTACACAATATTATGTTTAAGATTCGTTTCCGTTCGACTGCTGGGAAATCCTACATAATGGATATAATATAACGGGCGTATACCAGATTTATCCCTGGGGATCCAGTGGAAAGTCCATAGACGTACTCTGTAACATGGATATTGACCCCAAGGATGGACGGTAACTTGCCTTTAGCCGACTTTATTGTTCCAAACATATCTTACTCACGCCCACAACAAATACAACAATTGAGACAAACATTATGTTGTACAGCATTTTTGCTTTCTTCAGTTCCAGTTACATGTAATGTGAGCTTCCCAAAAATTGATTATTCTATAAGATTAGCACATATACAGCTGAATTGACTATTGCTTTGTCTTAGTCTAGTTAGAGTATTGATTGATATAATTGTCATTTAAGTTTTTTGCCATACCAGAAAACGGTTTTTTTTTAATTTTTTTTAGTTTTTAATACACAATATGACGTGGTTGCCTTATATCATCTGCCATAGCATACTATTTGTTTAAAAGTTTTATAAACACAAAAATATCTTTGACGTTTTATATTTTTAGGTATTTCAATGGCGTCATCCTTTAACTGAAAATTTTAATAGAACTTGGATAGAATATAAAAATGGTTTTGGCAATGTGTCTGGAGAATTCTGGCTAGGTAAGATTTATATTAAATGGCACATTGCAGATCAAATAATTTATTCAACCCTAAAGAACTACTTTCTAATTTTTCAACTACGATATTTAAATCAATATGTGATACTTTCGTTTTTCGGCAAATTATTGTGGACACGCAACTAGCATTTATTCCCTGTATGTATTAGAACTGTAGGTCTAGTATTTAATGTATATGATTTGATAATACTCAGTTATAACCTCACTGATACGCAGAAGAATCGCAACAGGCAGTAAACTACAAATATAACATTTTCTAATCTAATAATTTATAAAAATGAATGCAGTAAAGTAAAATGTAGATTTAAAACCAATTGAAATGATTTGATTCAAACGTTGAGTGTTATCTCTAAACCTAACAAAGTAACACATAAGAAAAAAATTGATGTAACCATCAATTGTCGGCCGGGAAATAAATAAAGTAAACAATGAAAATGAGTCTTGATCATCAAACCACTTCGATATGTGTGAAAAGGCATGCGTCTAACAGATGGAGACGATCGTTGCGAATATCTTAAAAAACTTATAGTTGGATAAAAATCGAACAAAAACGATACCATTTTAAACTTTATCAATTCCTCAAGCAAATATTGGCTGCATAAAATATAAATTGAAGTAAGACACATGCATCGCCTTTATTCAAAAATGTGTTTATTTTCAATTTAAGAATATAGGACACGCACTGTGTAGAGTACGTTTTTATGCAAAAAGTAAAATTCGATGCTCTAAAAAATGGGACCTGTCATTTTTCGATAGTAAGCGATGAGCAACTTTATATATCAAATATAATAAATTATTTTTACAGATTCACTTTATGGAAATAAATATATTATTTATCTCGTATTTTATAAACGGAAAGAACATTCTGATTAACAATCTTTTCAATGTTAAGAAAACCTTTAATTCTGAATTACTTCTCCCACCTCAATCCTCATACACTATCACTTAAACTTATATGTATAGATAATCCCGATCCTCCGGCCTGCAATAACTGCTGAAAAACGCCCCACTCTCGTCCATTCAACCACAGCGTGCAGGTCTACCATGCAAAAAAAAAAAACAAAAACAAACAAACAAAACAAAACATTTGATCAAAAGAACTATTCTTTGGTATTTACAGATGCTGAGGTCGAATATTCTCTAAACTAACACAGTGAAGTAAACCTTGGACTTCCGGTCTACGGACTGACAATTCGGGCTTATTCCTGCTTTTATGTAGTTCATTTTTGCATTTGTTACTCAACTTTTTCTTTATTATGTGATTTTACAGCAATACGTTTCAGTTATTGAATTACGAAGAAATCTTCGCATTAAAAAAAAAATACTTATTATTAATGGATACAAACGTTTGAAAACCGTAAAATATTCCCACGTTTCATTAAACATGCAGGGGCTCGTAACATAGAGCTTGCTAAGTTTTTGACTTAAGTAGGGTCCTAAGTACGGTTTAAGCATAATCTTAGGACCTGACTAAGTACTACTTAAGTATGTCTTAAACCGTAACATAAAACGAACTTAGCTACTTCTTAGCTAAGTCAAACTTATGTTAAAAATATTTCATATGAGTCATCATATGGTTTTTGATTTTATATAGATATATTGCCAAAAATGATTCAGTAAGGGTTTTAATTAATCACATATTGAAATAAGTCCTTACCTATCGGTTTAAGTTATGTTTGATTAGATTTCGTATTAAAATTATACTTATGATATAAATTATTCGGAATATTTAAAAACAAATACCTCACGGTGAGAAAGTGGCGATTAGTGGTTCATTGTAAATATTCACGACAATTGTTTTATCACCTGAGGTGTTTTCCGTTTCCCTTTTGTAACTCTTTTGTTTTGACAAATGTTCACTTACCCTGTTATTATCGCAGACAAGAAAAGATAATCGACCGCCTATCCGCATAAAATTGAAACTCTAAAAGTTCAATACATTTTGAATCCCTGCTATGCATCAGGCCATGCGTGTCAAAAGCAAAAACTGCAGAATTTTTATAAGTACTACTTAACAGCTTAAGTATGTCTTACACCATAACATTCTCTCTCTCTCTTTCTCTCTCTAGAACTGTAGTGAGCCCTGTCTAAATCCGCACTTGTCACGTTCTACATTTACTCTACTTTACAGATACTTTAACATTACTGTCATTACCCTCTTTCTTTTCTGTTTTTAACAAATTATACAAATTTTTTCAACTCATAGTTTCAAAGTGAAAATACAGATTCATGGCTCATTACTGTTTTCAATTTATTTCTAAAACAGAAGCCCCACTAATTTCAGACATATCCCTAAGATAAGATAAGATAAGATAAGATAATATTTATTTAAAGTCGGGTACATCAACAAAGAACATTAGCTCTGAAGAGCTATTTTCCGTCTACCTGAAATTAAATTTTGTATTTATATGTATGTTGTGTTGGGAGTGATATTGGAATCAGTGATCAGCCCCTCCCCCCCCCCCCCCCCACGCAAAAATAAATCAGCGTCAAATAGAGATAATTTTCTTTAATGCATAATATGAATAGAGGAATGTTTTAACATCGAAAATCAACATTAAATGATTCTAAATATTTGTACAAGAAAGTTAAGATATACTTAAGTCACCTCTGCCGGTCGCCTAAAACCCCAGTCACATTTCCAAAAACGACCAACGGCCGACGGGTTTTGAAGCAAAAATGGGATTCTTCGGGTGACAGTCGTCAGTTTATCGGCCGTTGTCTTGGCCGATTTTGACCTATTTTTTTGTCGGCCGACCAATTTTGTGTCCATCGGTCCAAGTTATAATTTTTCATGCGTCGGTGGCCGATTTCTTCAAGTGCAATTATCCGTCGACCAACCTTCGATCATCGTCCGACCATCGGCTGTCAGTTTATTAAGTCGGTCGTCCGTCGTTGGACAATAAGGGTGTTGAAAATTTCGGCCGACGGTTAAAATCAAACTGTAGCTCAGAGCTCGATGATCGGGCCACTATTGGCCGACTTGTGAATATTTAACCTATTAAGGATACATAACACAAACAAAATTTTGATGCATTGATTGATATAATTTTCTTGAACGGAGATAACATCAATAATTAATCCGTAACATATAAAGAAATCTTAAGTATTCTTTGCTGCTTAGATATGCACCATTTGTCAATTCCATACAAATTTTACACACATTTTCAACACTGAGTCACATTTTTTACGATTCTGCCAGTTTAATTGCGTTGCAAACATTACTCCACGCCTGCTAATCGATCACTTGCACAACCAGCAGTTGTGTATAACAATCAAAAGAGATCGATTTCCGGTTGTGCAGTTGATGCGAATAATTCCAGTGCACAGGTAGTAAATGGACTCGATTCAGGCAATAATTGATATTTTTATTAAAATATAAGAATGTGATTCCATGAGTAATTTATTTTTCTTTAATTTTACACTCTCATAAAATGCAGTGATTGTCGATTAGCGACTATATTTGTTTTGAAGCAAGGGCTGGTAGAGCGAAAACGCTGATTGAAAACAGTATTCGCCGACTAAAATTCGTTTTAATCTCAACTAACCTTGAAAATTCAATGTCCACCATGAGTATGCTACAAGTGCATCCTATCCACCAAAACTGGGACTTCGATATGTGTATAATTTGACAAATTTTCGAAGAAAATAACATTGCTTGTGCATGCGATCATTCAGTTGTGAAAGAGATCTCGGGTTATGCATGAGATGAAGGACAAAAAGTTTCAAACTTTACGAATAAAATTAAACATTATATAATTATAACGTAGTCTTGCAAAATTTAAAACATTAAACTATAGAATTTTCTTGCAAATAAGATGAATTTGTGAGAAAAAAAGATATATAAGATAAGTAAACTGTTGAAGTAGATCTGTTAGGGGAGGGGGTTAAAGTTTCAGTTACAATCAATATAATTACAGTAAAAAAATTATGTGTGTATTATTTAAATCATAAATCTTGTGTGAATTATCCAATGCATCTTTAATATGGCTATTCCGTATGCAAAAAAAAAAAAATAATAATAAAAAAAAAAAATTAAAAATAAAAAAAAAAAAAAAACAGCATATACTGGGCAGTATAACATTTTCTTTCAGTACGAAATTGTTTAACTCAAACATACCTTACCTTTATTAATTATTTTGACGGTACTTCAACAAAAGTGAATTTTTCATGCTTTCATTTCATATATATTTTATAGTAAAAGTGCTGTCTGTGAAAAAAATAAGAGGCAGGCTCTCGATGATATTTGTTTGCCAAGGGGTAAATATTTCCTGGTGTTTTGAAGCTAGGTATCCTGAATTTTGTTATCGAGATGGAAAGGATCAAGATGACAACATCACATTACAGGTGCTTCTGGACAGGACCCCCCCCCCCCCCGGACTTGTTGGACACTTTTTTTTTCTCACAAATTATATTTATTACATTTATTCATCATGTATACCATAGGGGAAAAATCGTCAAAAATTCAAAATAATCGTTCAATAAAAAATATCCCTATTAAACATTCCAAATAAAATTAATGCAAAGCATCAAATCAGCCGCAAAATTTATAATTTCAAAAATTACAAGTACTTTCTTTATTTGAAAAGCATCAATGCATGGGAAGCACAAAATATTCAAAGCTGAAATAGATCAATTTCATTTCAGACTGTCTTCAAAGCAAAAATAAATAAAATGGTTTTTTTAATTTAATAGAAATTTTAGTGCATTTGTTCATCAAATGGAGTCATCAATGAATCAATAAAAAGTCAATGATGAATTATAAGAATGTATGAATGAAGATGTAGGTCTCTCAAGATGAACCACATGCTGAAACCCTGGATCTTTATCACGTGATAATACCCATGGTTTCTGCAGTAGGCTAATCAAGGCGCGTAGTTTGATGGAAAAAATGTAAGAAAAATATTTGTTGTCAAATCTGTTGCACATTGAAAACAATTTTTACTACAGTGTGTTGAAAAACTTTTTCAATTTTTATTCACCTTGCAACTTTAACCACTTCCTTATTATCTGGAAAACCATGACGATTTCCTTTCATATCTTGATTACTCCCTGGTTGGGGAGTATCTATTGTAAACTCTTTCTATATATTAACCATATATTATTAATTACCCAATTACAAATGACAATGAAATTGTAACAACAACAATAAATGCTCAGTTTAAAGAAATTTTTTAAAATTAAGATTAGTTTACAGAACTTATGAAAAATAACGCCTCATTTCCCGATATAAGAGATCGGCCGCTGCTGCTGAAAAAGTCAAAATGTGCTTGCAAAAATGACTGTACATCATTGGCGGATCTAGAAGGTGGTTCCTGGGGTTGGACCCCCCCCCTCTATTTGATAAGAGAGAGAGTTATGTAACACGGATATTTTATTACGTCTAATATTTTGAATAAAATAAATACTTTGAATAAAAAAAAAATATTTCGAATAAAATAAATACACTGTACATGTTGTTCATTCTCTGTCCTTTCTGATCGCTATAAATAGAGTTCCCTCGTTTAATATGCTTTCCTCCGAGTACCGTCACATACAATCCGAGCCCTGCTTGCTTGTTTGTGTTTTTGTTTTGTTTGTTTGTTATTGGCTTGTCAAAGTCCCCCATAGAACCGTTGAAAACTCAGTGTTGCTAGGTTTAAAGTGCCTACATGTATATGCATGAGTGTTGGACACCTGGACAACCCCCCCCCCTTTTTTTTCAAAAATTGTTGGATCTGCCCCTGCAACGTCTTCATATTATAGACAATATTTAACATTTTATAATTACCAAAAATAAAATAGTATAAGAGGTGAATTATGGAGATTGTATAATACTTGCGTAACTTTTTATCCTTTATCTCATGCATAACCCGAGATCTCTTTCACAACTGAATGATCGCATGCACAAGCAATGTTTTTTCTTCGAATATTTGTCAAATTATACACATATCGAAGTCCCAGTTTTGGTGGATAGGATGCACTTGTTGCATACTCATGGTGAACATTGAATTTTCAAGGTTAGTTGAGATTAAAACGAATTTTAGTCGGCGAATACTGTTTTCAATCAGCGTTTTCGCTCTACCAGCCCTTGCTTCAAAACAAATATAGTCGCTAATCGACAATCACTGCATTTTATGAGAGTGTAAAATTAAAGAAAAATAAATTGCTCATGGAATCACATTCTTATATTTTAATAAACATATCAATTATTGCCTGAATCGAGTCCATTTACTACCTGTGCACTGGAATTATTCGCATCAACTGCACAACCGGAAATCGATCTCTTTTGATTGTTATACACAACTGCTGGTTGTGCAAGTGATCGATTAGCAGGCGTGTACTCACGTCACCTATCTGAATATAGATCTATGAAATATATTGCTGATTTCGAAAGAAAAAAAAAAAGATTTTTTGTGTTATTTATCCAAGTCATCGGTGTCCCTAGGAAATAATGTGACTGCTCCGTGTCGCCCGATACTGTGTCGGCCGATCCTGTTCTTTCAGCCGACAAGACCAGAAAAATTTAGTCGCCCGACCATCGGCTTAAATGTGACCTAGGCATAAGTTTTGGTAAGATTGCCAAATCTTAGTACGCTTCTAGTTACGGTCTTAAGTTTTAGACTGTACTTAAGTCCTACTTTAGCACGGTCTTAGACTTAAGTAGCCTTTATTTTACTACCCCCTGGTTTTTTTCTGCTGGGGGGAGGGGGGGAGGGGGGTCAACTTTAACTTCTGTATTACATAAACAATAAAGTAAAAAAAAAACCCACAAATATACAGAGATAACGAGCGCACACAGCAGCAGATTATTATGTATGTTAGTGAGGTGCACACGGCCGGCAGCCTCTGACCGCACACAGCAGGTCGATAGGGTTCAGAAAAGTTACCCGTGGGTGCTTACACAGAATGGCGTCTTCTTCTAATGGATACACACCAAAGCGTGACGTCATACCTACACATTCACAAAAGGGGTACAGCACAGGAATACTATAGAAACACAAATTTTCGTGGGCATAAAATTTCGTTGATTTGTCATCAAATATAGTTTAGAGGACATTTAATTTCGTTGTTTTGAAAGTAACCCTATTCAATATATAGTCATATATAATTTCGTGTGGGATTTAATTTCGTTGAATATTGTGAACAACGAAATAAACGAAATTTAATCCCCCACGAAAATTTGTGCTTTTACAGTATATTATATAGGGGCTCGGCACAGGATACGTACAACAAATTGTACTACACTTCTATTGATCAAATGAAAATCATTCAATTTACTTAAATCACTGATTTGGCGAAGTTTGAAGATATCTTAACTTTCTAAGTCCAAATTTATACCCTGTTTATAATTTTTCATCTAAAAATGATATTGCATTCCTTTTGTATTTAAGTATAAATCTTTTATTGATTAATTAATAAGAATATTGTATATTGCGCATATGTATTGTTAAACTTAATATTGAATTCAAGATATATGTTTCATGTGAATGTGAGACATGTACATGTATATAGAGAATAATCCATACCAATTTCCATATCACATTCTGTATCAGCCCGAGATTTCAATATCAGCCATAGTCCTAACCCTGAGGGCTGATTTTGGTCGAGGGTTGATATAGCATATGTGGAAAATGATAATTTTCATTATTTTTATTTCATGCTTAGTAATTAATTACAGCACAAATTAACATGAGAAAAATCATCATAGACAGATTTCTAACATATACATACATTATTGTCTTACACTGTTTAGGTATCTTTCTATCTTTCAAGTAGACCCGATCCATAGTTAAAACAATCTTATGTTAATTAAAGTATCCTAACAATCAAAAAGTTAAGATAAAAAGAATACATGTATGTAGCCCCAAAAATATGTTTTTATCACAAGTTCTATTTTTTAACGGTTTATTTACTAGGGGTGTATTTTGATCCGTATTAGCCCTACAGAGCTGACACAGCTATTGTGACACCAGACATATATATCGCATATATAAAATTATCTGTATTTATGACTAAGTATGTAATAAATCAATACATGTACTTAGCAATTCTTCTTTATTTTTATTAAGGAAATGAGATCATTCATCTTCTGACAACACCACACCGAACATTGTTTCATATTGGTATTACAAATATTAATGGCGGTTCATGGTATGAAAGATTTGACAACATGAAAGTAGCATCTGAGGCTCAAAAGTTCACTATAACTCTCGGAAGGGCATCTGGAACTGCTGGTAAATGAACAACATGTATTTACATTTAAATTACTGGATATATTTAATTATTTATTTAGTAGTGTTTTAGTAGGATTTTCCCGTTGTTTCCCTATCAAGACAAAAAGAATATGGCGGGTGTGACCTGTCGTCAAAGGATGCTTACCCCTCTATGGCACCTGATCCCATCTGCGATGTTTTGAAAGTCCATGTTTTCTCTGCTCCTATTTTGTATTGTCTAATGGACTTTTGATCTAGAATAGTCTTTGTTATCTCAATATCTTTCATTATTTTTCTTTTAAGCTTTTATAAAATTTCAGGCGATCGGAGTACCAATAAGTCTTCTGGCGGTTCCATGGATGGGATGCCATTTTCATCATACGATTGCGACAACGATTTACTTTCCGGTAACTGTGCGGCATCTTACGGAGGGGCGTGGTGGTTTAACTCCTGTTACAATGTTTTTCTTAATGGTCCAAGAACACATGACTATTACGAGGGTGTTCTCCCCTCTTCAACCTTAAATTCATCCATTCTTATGATAACACGACTGTAGCATCAAACGTTTTGAGTACATTTCGCGGTATTTATTTCAATCTTTAACGTATCAGGAAGATTATATCACATACTTACTGTAATTACACACTTATTGTAAATTACTTCTCTTGACCTGTTTTACTGTACCTACACATGTATCATGAATAAAAACACTGTATCGAACATAAAACATGCAAAATGATGACTTCAAACGATATCCTGATTTCATTAACTTGTTAACCTTGTTTCAGAACTTGCCATGCTCTTGCGTATTTAGGCATGAACTTCACAAGCAGGTCAAAAGGGTATATTGCTACATGTACTATACATGTTCATTATGGAAGTTGACAATGCAAAAGGTAAAGTTATCTCGTTCATCATAAAGCTTTGATGTAAGATTACCATTTAAGTCAGTCTCTTTTCTATTGTATCTTTTATTTCAATCTCACCGGGATATGTCAACTTGACATAAAAAGCAAAATAACTAGTATTTAATTATAATATATCGTCGATAGATCAAACTGTTGAGTTGAAAGTCACACTAAGTGTTTTCTTCTTCTCGTATAGAAGTTTTTTAATAAGTTCTGCATGTGTTTTATATGAATATAGAAATAGGTCTGTTAATACCGTGGCGTAATTGGCACACATGGCAATTCCGACATAGTGTTGGAATACCTGGCCCCGGGATCATGAATCAGTCTTAGACTTAAGTCAAAATTTAAATAATCTATAAAATTTTTATGAATTGTGAGCCGAATCTCTAAAAGTGCACAAAAAAGGAGTCCTTTGGGCAAAGTTAAAAACATTTTCATTCTGGACTGCCTATTTTTTATTTTTTTTTATTGAAATACAGATTTTTGACTTAAGCTTACGATGTTTCATGATCACAAGGTCAGATTACCAAATAAATACATACATACTGTCACTTATCAATTTCAGAGTAAATTTTAAGATTTAAACAATATTTCATTATGAATAAAGGCACTGCCTATGTAAGTCCTCTCCATATCAGAGTACTTGTGTGTATTTAACAAAATATTTTGCAAAATTTAATGTCTAATTACAAGGTTAGTATATTTACGAGTAGCAGATGTCTATTATGTCGAAAAGCCTTGATATAGATTTATCATTAAAAAAAGTCGCATAAAATTTGGAAAAGTACATTTTAATTTAAATGATTTTGGTAAAAAATTAATTTTAATTTTATAAAACTCAAAGTTCTTTGTCGTTTTTAAGTATTCATATTTGATTGACAACACTTCTCGAAATACTGCTGTATACCGGTAGTACTTTTGAAATTTCCCCTTCCCAGTTTTAAATATTTTATAGAGTAGTAAAGAGAATAGACTTGATAGAATACTTATTTGAACCTGCTATGCATCTTTGTAAGGATTTTTGTGGAGTTTTGAAATACAGTATATTATATTGTAATTCAAATTCATTTTCATTGTTGGGAATATGACTGACAATAAACGAGAAGTATATCAAAAGTTCTGAGAACTATCTAATAAAAAATTAACCGTTTCACGTGTATAAAAAGAATATATAAAAAAAAACTGACATATCGTTTTGCAGAACTTCCTCCTTAGAAAGGGAGCTGTGGGTGTAAGTTAGATTACCACTTGCATAAATAAATCTTAGTTCCTCTAAAATAAAACTAAAATAATAAATCTTATAAACAAAGACAGCGTTGTAGCTGTTTTGTCATCTGGGAAGTGTACATATGCATTTTATCTTATACTAATATTTGTTCAATTCTGCATTATCGAAGACCTAGAACTACATTTTCTCGTTACAAACTAGATCCGTTGTGAAGGTTAACAACGTTACAACAAAATACCACCACTCAGTGGCCGTAAGTAGCGAGCATATTGACCGGTCACTTACTATACGTGATTTTACGAATTCACTTTACATACAAAAATAAAAAGAAAAAAAGTCAGCTCACATTTACACAGAACCGATCTCAAAAACATCATTCTGTTTTCTAAATATATTATCTTATAGCTAGTGGAATACGGACGGGAATCATTCTGCAGTATTTATTGTTCAGGGGCTCGTAACATAAAGCTTGCTAAGATTTTGAGTACGTTTTAGGCACAATCTTAGGACCTGTCTAAGTACTACTTAAGTATGTCTTAAACCGTAACATAAAGCGAACTAAGCTAGGTCTTAGCTAAGTCAAACTTATGTTTAAAATATTTCATATGAGCCAACCTATGTTTTTTGATTTTATATAGATATATTGCTAAAAGTGATTCGGTTAGGGTTTTAATTCATTACATATTGAAGTTGACGTCCTTGCCTATTGGTTTAAGTTATGTTAGATTAGATTTCGTATTAAAATTTATAATTATGTTATGAATTAATCGGAATGTTTGGAAGCAAATACCGCACGGTCAGAAAGTGGCGAGTTGTGGTTCATTGTAAATTTACGGCAATTATTTTATCACCTGAGATGTTTTCAGTTTTCCTTTTGTAACTCTTTTGTTTTGACAAATGTTCACTTACCCTGTTATTATCGCAGACAAGAAAAGATAATCGACCATCTATCTACTTAAATTTGAAACTCTAAAGAGTTCAATACATGTTGAATCCCCGCTATGTATCAGGCCATGCATGTCAGAAGCAAAAACTGCAGAAGTTTTATGATATACTCATTTGCAATTTAATCAAGGATACAAAAAAAAAATCGGGATATTTTTCCGTATGTCTCCACTTATCAGCAATTTCTCTCTCTCTCTCGAACTGTAGTGAGCCCTGTCTAAATCCGCACTTGTCGTGTTCTACAGATACTTTTTTTTATAATATTATTATTACTGTCATCATCCTCTTTCTTTTCTGTTTTTAACACATCATTTCAACTCATTTTTTCAAAACGAACATAGAGATCCATGGTTTATTACTGTGTTCAATTTACTTCTATAACCGAGGTCCCACTAATTTCAGACGTACAATGAAGCACATTGAAGTGGTAAAATTTTCCGTTTGGATGGAACGTTTTGAGCCATCTCAAGACACGCCCATTTCTTTAGAAATGAAAAATCGGTCAAAATGATTCAATCGAATACCTGTAGAACATGTATTCCATAAATATAGTAGCCAGTCAAATTGACGGTCTGCATAAGCACCGAGTAAGCACGTGTTCGACCGATACATGTGTTATGCTAACTCCAATAAACATGATAAAATCATAATTATGTACAAATTCGTTACAACGCGTGTTTTACAAAAGCGGGGACTCTATATAGTTTTTTTTTAAATTTAAAAATCTTCAATTTAGTGTAACTCATGTTGTTTGTCGCGGAAAGTGGGGTGCCCTAAAACATTACGACGAATATTTCTTTCTCGTTTCTAAAGAAATGGGCGTGTCGTTATGTTATAATTGACGGTCAAAGCATGACTCAGAACGTTTCATCCAAATGAAAAATTTTACCACTTCAATGCGCTTCATTGTATCCCTAAAATTAAATTTTGTATTTACATGTATGCTCTGTTGGGAGTGATATTGGAATCAATGATCAACCCCCCCCCCCCCAACGAAAAAGTAAAATTCTTAAATCAGCGTCAAAAAGAGATAATTATTTTCTTTAATGCATAATATGAACAGAGGAATATTTTAACATCGAAAGTCAACATTAAATAATTCTAAATATATGTACTTGAAAGTTAAGATATACTTAAGTCACCTCTACCGGCCGCCTAAGTTCTGCTAAGATTACCAAATCTTAGCACGCTTCTAGTTACGGTCTTACGTTTTAGACTGTACTTAAGTCCTACTTAAGCACGGTCTTAGACTTAAGTAGCCTTTATGTTACGACCCCCTTTCTGTGAATTTTATCGTTGAGTTGGTCCACAAAATCAACTGTTCATCGTAAGTTTTGAGAAATCTTTAAAAGGCTCATTACGACTTTCTTTTACATAGACAGTTTGTGCGCTTAAAAGATAAAGACTTGGTATTTAAAATACTCGTAAACCTTTCCCTGAAAGTTGATAGAATAAAAGTCTATTTCAATTTATTGTTTTTTAATCTGTTTCATTATCTGATATCAATCTGATTTTTAATTTGTCTATCGAGTCTGAAGTCTTACAATGGGGACGGTATTTGGAAATCCAAATATTTTGTTGTTACATGCGTATACCATGTAAACTTTATGATTTTAACATTGATTTATACACT